GGTTGGAAACTACCGTATTTGGAACCCAGTCTTTGCTCACACGCTCGCTAGATGAGAGACAGACACTAAGTGCACTGGGATCTTCCATCTTGATTGTTTCACGGCTCTGCATGTCTTGATGATATTATAAGTAAAGGAGATACGAAAGCCATGGCTATCATTGAATTGGCAAGAAAACACCTTCCAATTTGACCGATTTACAATATTCTCATTTCGTCTTGCCGCCTAACCATGACTGGCTCAGCACTCCCACTACTACAGTCGCTGGAACCCCAGCAGCTGGCTCTCCTCTCTTCCATGTTAGTTCTTAGTCTGCTACTAATCTACTACAATCTCCCAGATAGGCATGATGAACTCCCCTATCTTAACCCTCCTGGCAAGTTTGACCTGCTAGGGAAAAAGGCAAGGTGGCATTTTGCTATGAATGCCCGAGCGCTACTAGCGAAAGGCCGTGAATTGTATCCAGGAAAGCCGTACAGAATGTTTACGGATGTCGACGATTTGATTGTCCTTCCGTCTCAATATGTTGACGAGACCCGCAATGAGCCGGCTCTTGACTTCCTCGAGTTCTTTTCTGATAACTTCCATTCCGGTATTCCTGGATTCGATGGATTTGCCTTCAACGACCGTCCTGATGAACTTCTCATCAGGACAATCAACAAGAGGTTAACCAAGCTTCTAAGTAGGCGACTTTGTTTTCCTCGGCATTTCCGTGACTAACACATTCAAGATCACGTCACTGCTCCTCTATCTGCCGAGGCAGACTTTGCCACCAAACTTTTGCTTGGAACTTCCCCTGGTATGGCTAAACTCTGAGCTTGATGCGGGCTGTTTACTGAATCAATCAGAATGGAAAGAACTTGACTTCAAAGAGGCAATGCTGGATCTCGTCGCCCGCTTGTCATCTCGCGTGTTTCTCGGCAATGAGCTTTGTAGGAACGCTAAGTGGCTTGAGATCTCCAAATCTTACAGTATGAACTCATTCTTGGCTGCAGACTTACTCCGCCAGTACCCAAAGTGGTTCAGACCGATTGCGTGCCGTTTTATTCCACAATGTCAGCTACTCAGGACCCAGGTGGCTGCAGGGCACACTGTGTTAGCGCCGCTGCTTGGCAAGCGACAGCGAGAGCTCCAGGAAGCGATGGCAAAAGGAAAACCTGCACCTCCATACAACGATGCACTCCAGTGGTTCGCTGAAGAGAGCCATGGGAAGCCGTATGATCCTGTAGCCTCTCAGCTATCACTCTCAGTCGTGGCCATCAATACTACCTCTGACCTTGTAACAGAGACCATGCTCCGGTTGATTGAAAGGCCAGAGCTAGTGGAAGATGTTCGCAAGGAGATTGTTGAGGTCCTAAACAAGGAAGGCTGGTCGAAGAAAGCTTTGTTTAACATGAAACTGCTCGATAGCGTGACGAAAGAAGCCCAGAGGTTAAAGCCTATAACAGCTGGTAAGCAGCCAAGCCATCTCAGCAAATGATTCCCTGCTAACACGTGTCAGCAATCATGAATCGCAAAGCCAAAGATCGCGTCACTCTACCGGGAGGATTAGTGCTGGAGAAGGGCGATCGGTGCATGTCAGACCTTGGCTCGATGTACGACCCCAATATCTATCCCGATCCTGAAACCTTCGATGGATATAGGTTCTTCCGCATGCGGTCCGATCCAGAGATGGAGAGCAAAGCTCATCTTGTAAGCACATCTTCAATACATATGGGCTTTGGACATGGTCGCCATGCATGTCCAGGTAGGTTCTTTGCTTCCAACGAAGCTAAGGTTCTCCTGGCCCACTTGATATACAAGTACGATTGGAAGCTGGAAGATGGCTATGTGCATACCATTGACGCGTTTGGTCTGGGCTTGAGCTCGGGAGATTGTGGAAGAGTGTTTTCAAAGAAGCGGATGCATACTAAGCTGGATATTGATGCACTGCTATAATTATAGTAAAAGAAACTGTGTTTGTAGATAACAAGATTTAAACTGAAATGCTAGCTTATTAAGAGATACATTATAGAGTGTAGGTAAACTTGTCAGCGATGGAAAACTATTAGTATCTGAACTGCAAAGCTAGTCCTCGTAAACTGCAACTGCGTTGGTAGGCAAGTTACGCCTCGAACAGGCAGCCGCCGTCGGCCCCAGCTGTCTCGCAAGCAATCGCCGTAAACCCTCCATTGCTCTTGATGGGAATTGAAATGGACGAGCCCGAATCAACATCAGTGTGAATAGTTCGATCAATCGCGGTCCGGTCAGTATCATTGCCGGGTGAGTCATGAACTACGTCAAGGACAAAGGTTTTGCCTGTAGGTAGATTTGTCGGCTTCAAATCAAAGGTCTGCTCGGCGCCATTGAAGACTCCAGCAAAGTAGTGCCGGTTCAGCGTATCGGAGCGGCGACCGACGACTATAGCCTTGCCTGGGTATGAGCCGCTGAGAAGATCAGAGTCTTGCCAGGACGAAGGAAGCTCCTTGTACATTCGGACTGCGAGAGGATAGCTCCTGATGACTTCAGGCCTTTCGCCTGGATGCTGCCAGCCTGACTCGAAAACGATGGCTTTGGCGAGACCGCATCCGACAGAGCACTGTTCCAACTGCTGGCGTTGTCGCTCGTCGCTGTAGGATATTCCTGCGGCGGTGTAGAGGCTGGGCGTGAAGTCCATACTTCCGACGAGGCCTCTAGTCAAGGGAATGACCGTGTGGCGGAATGCGGAGTTTTCATGTTCGTCGCCTTTAATAGCCTCAACGGTCATCAAATGAGGCCACTGACGCTGCATGCCACGCGGAGGCGGACAGCCATGAAAGTTAACCATGAGTTGGGCTTCAGCCATTTGTGAGAGAATAGAGTCTTGCTGCGCATGCATCGCTTGCACATCTGACAAGAAAAAGTCAAGCTTGGCGCCCTTGACGCCCCAGCTCTTCATGTCTGCAATGTGAGTAACGATGTCAGAGGTCGAATTCCACTGGTTCGAAGGGTACCAGATGATAACGCCGATCCCCTGGAGCTCGGCGTAGTTGACAAGCTTAGTTACAGTATCCTCGCTCCAGCCCTCATCGATCAGGACGAATGGCCATTTTTCGAGAGCGGCAACATCAACATATTCCTCCAGGCGTGTGAGGTTATGGACCGCGTCGGGTTCTGGAAGCCAGTGCCACGCAACGTTTCCAGGCTTGATCCAGCTCAGGTCGGTCACGTTGGTGGGCTCGTGATTGTCTTGATCAAAATGGCTCTTATAAAGTGTGGGGAGATCACCAACAACTGTAGGTAAAGGTGCGAGTCAGCATGGTGGATCATATTGCGTTCATCGAGACGTTGAGCGCTTACCAGCAATGCGCCAGGGTGTGAAGACCGCCTTCTGAACCTCGACGACGCCGCCCTCAGCAAGATAAAAGGTGTAATTCAGTGACCCATCCGAGTGTGAGAGTTGGGACCCTTGCCAACGCCCGTCGATATCACCTTCAATCAGGAGGACCCATTGGTCAGAAGCTACGGACCCAACATCGGCGAGGTATGGCATCATCACCCGCCTGGAATCCGAAAGGCCCGTGGCCACATCACTTTGGATCCACTCGCCCTCGTATGATGTGTTTTCAGGGTCATCCATCTGTGGCCAAGTTAGCTTTCAAGGATCAGTCGACGAATCCATTGAGTTGATGCTTACCAGAAAGGTTGCTCCATTCTGAGCAAATGTCCACGACGAAGACTCTGCCGTCACCTGGTACTGACCGTCTGGGACCTTGGTTCGGAATCCGCATCCGTCACGTCCGACACGTATATCAAGTTGTATGTGCTTAGCATCGGTAGTTTGGCATTGGAACGATTGCGTCCTATACGTAGCCGAGCGAGACGTTGTGCGACCAACCGGAGTGGTGTACACGACGAGCTCCTCCGTTTGTTCCAGGGCAGTGCATGACTGAAATTGCGGTCCTACATCGCCTAGGCTGGTGGAAAAGCCAATCTTTGAAGCTGTAACAACAGTCTGGCCATTGGTCTGACACTGAAAGCTAAACGCCCCTGCGTCATCCTGGGTGATGACAGCCTGGATCGGTTCAAGGCCAACAATCCACTGGCCAGCTCGAGCAACCAGTGCAGGAGATGCATTTGCTGACATTACTGCCAGGGCCAGAAGAGAAGACTGCTTCCAAATCATGTTGGGAACCTGTTAAAGCTCAGATGCTGTTATGAGATGATGAACGTTGGGGGAGTTGGCGATTTCTCTCTTCTTATATGTTATTCAGTCCAAAGGTCTCCGAGGAGCAGACAATTGAAGAGTAATCATGTCGGCTGATTCTAACCCGAATATAGTGAGCCACCTTCCGATTGAGGTAGAGGAGAGAGGACCGAGCACATAAAATCCAGAGGGATAAAGGGATCGTCAGACTGTTTACGATAATCTGCCGGTAGATGGTGGGACATGCAAGGATATGTGTCTACTTCATACTGCCGCGTATTACACGCGCCAATGGGATAATACATACGGGCCGAATAAAGCCACCCTTAGAGTTAAGAACATTACAGGAATTACAAGGTATTCGACACCATCAGCATAAGACTAATGCCCCCATGGTCGTAGATCAACTACTTATAGAAGTAAGGCGATTGCGGGGTATTGAAACCCTAGAGAATTAATCCAATAACACTTAGTATAGCAGATTCGTATATAGCCGACGGTTATATTTTAATATACTGAAATGCTTACAGCATTAGTCTGTTACTTTAAATCAAGTAAATAATTCTTTTATATACATTTATTTTATTTTACTAATACTTGTTACTCCTTGCCTATAGGGTCTTTATCAGACAACAAGCGCTCCAACCATTCTTCTTGCCCTCCCAAATACCGGTACACTACACGGGAATTCAGGTCTCTGCAATTCGGATCCGAGCTTGCATTCGTATACAGCTCAAGACCAGCGGCGCCCAGTACCGTCTTGGCATTAGAGCTCTCCGCCAAGTCGCAAGCTAGACCAAAGTCCTTGGCCATCAGCTGCACTTTAAAGCCGCCCCTATAGCCTTTGCTGGACGGCGCATCTGGACACAGACCAGGTACAGGGTTCCACTTATCGTTAATTGTAGTCTGTGCCGTCCTCTTAGAGAAGATCTCTTGGAGAACTCAAGGATCCAAGCCCGATTTGATCCCGATGTTAAAGGCCTCCGCGGTGGCAATGGCAATCAGACCGGAGCAGTAATTATTGCACATTCTAGCAGTCAGACCTGTTCCTGGACCACCACACGCAATAATGTTATTACCCATCAGCCCGAGAAGGCGGCATAGCGCAAGATACGAAGGGTCCTCTTCGGAACAACCGAACATAACTGTTAGTGAGCCGACCTCAGCTCCTAGTGTTCCACCAGATACTGGGGCATCGACGTGTCGAAGGATGCTTTATCCTGAACTCTTCTGCTACCTGACGAGATGTGCCAATGTCGATTGTTGAGCAGTCGACAAGAAACACGGGGCATTTGGTGGCAGCTATAACGCCGCTATGGACGTTGAGATAAATCTTTGTGAACCTCTGTCATCTGACGTACCACTTATAGAGCTGTTTTGGGTTTCTCAAGATAGGATATTAATAGGACAAGTACGGACAGAAAAGGATGAATAAAGGGAGTGAATCTATAGGTAACTTAATCAAAGTCTAGAATCACTTAAATTGACTAATTACGTTGTAAAGGGACTACTGAGATGGAGGGGTAAAACTATAGGGACATAGTCTAGAGTAATAAAAGAGGTCTCATAGGTATAAGCAGCGTCGTAGCCAGAAAAGACAGATAAGTTAGTGACTCGGGTACTGCCTATCCAAGATCTACTATATGTACTTTAAGTAGTATAGTAATAGCAGTAGGTTTAAAGTCTAGAGTCTGTATATCTCTGCCATGAGATAAGATATCAATCAAGGATAAGTATTACCCGGAGGTGCAAACGGGTTGTTACCAGCGGCCAATGAAGTGCGGGCTGCTGAACTTGGAACTTACCACATCTGAAATAGCGCCTAGCAACTGATGATCAGAACTTGCCAGTAAAAGCGACGATGCATCAACAGCTCGCGGTAACCACGTCCGCTTATCTCTACAAATCATCATGGAAATTGTTCGGCAAGGTAAAAGAGACTACGCTACATAGTTATATAATAATGTACGGGCTCCCGACATTGCCTTACGCCCAGCAAGCTGTTGCAAGCCATTGATTGGCTTGACTAAGACATCACTATCTCTTCTCTTCTCCCAGACAAGCTTCCGGCATTATCCAGTTCTTCACAATGGAATCAAGCTCAGCAATGCGTCTGCCTGTTGGTGCCATTGATCGATCTACTTGGGCAAAACGCTAACTTGTACCAGATTGTCATCTTCGCGGCTCTCGGCAGTCTCAGCTACGGCTATGCATCTAGCATCATTGCTACCACGCTAGGTCAGCCGACATTCTTGAGTCACTTCGCCCTGGACTCAAGACACAACGCGAACGATCTCATGGGGGCTATCAATGGATTGTTTCAAGCTGGAGGCTTTCTAGGTACATTAAGCTGCTATGCAATCGCAGATGCCTTTGGTCGTCGAAAGGCCATCTTGGTTGCGGCGCTGATCTCGACTATCGGTGGAGCCCTTCAGGCTGGAAGCATCAACATCGACATGTTCATTGCCATGCGTTTTCTCCCTGGTATCGGCATAGGCAGGTTAGCGAATGTGTCGATGACGCAGACTGCAGACTAATACTTCCCAGGAGCCTTGGTGACGCTGGTCCCTCTCTATCAGAGCGAGATGTCGCCATCACATATTCGCGGGCTCCTCGTCGGCATCCATGGTGGCATGATAGGCACGGGGTATGCTCTCGCGAGCTGGACCGGTTTGGGATTCTACTTCGTCAAAGCTTCCGGTGCCCAATGGCGTATTCCTCTGCCTATTCAGTGTTTGCCTTCACTGCTGCTTGCAGTAGGCATCCTGATGCTGCAAGAAACGCCCCGCTGGCGTCAGTTCCACTCCTCCATGAACAGTAACTTCTTTTTCTGACCCGATGACAGTCATTCTGGCCAACCGCATCGACGAAGCCCGCGACTCGTTCAATTATACGCGGCTTGCAAGCGGAGAAGGTCCGAGTTCTGATGAGGAAACGACTGATGCAGATTTCGAGGTCTTGCGTAGGCAAACCATCTGCGAGATGCAGCAAAATATTACCTTCTTCGATCTACTCAGGACACCTTCAATGAGAAAGAGATGCATCACGGGGTTTCTCACCACGTTTGGATGCCAAGCCACCGCGACTATCGTTATCAACAGTGAGTAGCCATATTGTGCCGCCACACCGTCGGAGCCGAGGCCAGCCCTTGTACTAACTAACTTGTCAGACTATGGCCCTTTGCTGTATGCTAGTTTGGGGTTCAGCACCGTCCAGCAGCTTCTCATCCAGCGCGGCTGGATATCTGTGGCTCCTTTCGGCAACTTCATAAATGCCTACCTTGTTGATCACATAGGCCGCGTCAAAATGCTTCGTGAGTACTCACTACACGCAACCGCATTAAAGACATATTGTATACTGACATGTTGTAGTTGGTGGCTTTGCTGGCTGTGTCATCGCTCTCATAGGAGAATGCATTACTATGTCCGTCTTTGAAAAGACGAATCATCGAGGAGCTGCATCAAGCGCTGTCTTCTTCCTCTTTCTTCACGTCACCATTTTTACCCTCTGTTGCGACGCTACGTCTTACGTTTATGCGTCCGAGATCTTTCCAACCCCAGTTCGCACGAAAGGGCTCTCAATCTCTGTCTCTGGCCTCTTTTTCGCCACCATTATCTTCACTACAGCTGCTCCTACAACATTTGCTGAGATTGGGTGGAAGTTCTATCTGGTATTTATTGTTGCCACTTCAATTATCATTGTGTACGCATATATGACATTTCCCGAGGTATGTATCGTAATTCTAACTTGCTGAGGACAAGATCTAATCAGGCCGCAGACCCGTAAAATGTCGCTTGAAGATATTCAAGAACTCTTTCGCGATCCAATTGACGGCATGCCTTCAGAGTTTGTCAATCAGGAGACTCTTCACCACCTTGGCAAGGACGACGAGAAGAAAACCATTCACGCTAGAGAACTCAGTACTTAATATAGGTCCAGTTCCACAGTAGATGCATTAGATGTGTTCTTGCTACAGGTCGATAGGAAAGCTAAGGTTCGCATAGAGGATCTGGCTATTTCCGTGCTGTACTGGATATTATCTTCCTTTAGAGAATTCAGCCTCATCTTGGCCGATTGAACTGAGTTAGATAAACCCACTCTCCCCAGAAACTGTATAGCACTGCATTTCTTCTATCGGAGGATGCAGGGAAAAGAGACGCATTTACTTTATCTTAACAGAGGCTCGCTTATCTCTTATCTCTCCAACACTCTCTAGCCGATCGGCCAGTAGTCTCTTACTAACGATTTAACCAGTCACCTTATCACTTCCAGTATAGCTATAAGATAAAGAGCTTTTAAACGATTGCTTAAATTAAGGTGCCTTTTGCGTTCTTCACTACACCGCTTTAAGGAGTTAAATACCATATATACAACACGTCATGAGAGCAATCCGCCCTAAAAATACCAAATATCAGCGGTCCTCCATCGCATGCACCTCATGTCGTCAAAAGCGCATCAAAGTAAGCATTGCTATCCCTGTCTGCATGAATCCATCTGCAGCCGTACGGATCCACGCCCTAACCAGGCTTTTAATAGTGCGATGGGGTCGAGCCATCATGAAGTACGTGCATCGCAAGGGGATGTTTCTGCCAGTATCTGCACAGTGAGAATAAACGCAAGTAAGGCTCTGAGATGCCCTCGTTTAATTTAGACTCTTATTCCTATACTATTTATCTACGTGGAGTACGATCTGACAGGACATTCTAGGCCGCCAAGTAAACAGCTTGTGGAGACCTTGCAGCTTCGAATCAAGATTTTGGAGGACCAACTCCTTGCACTGGGTCAAACAATTCCTGCGTTGGACAGCAATCCCAAAGCAACTGATCTTAAGATTGAAAACAAGCCGGAGACTGAGGAAGCCAACGCCGATGAGACGGAAGTCTTGCTCCAGCAAATCACAGAGAAGTGCGGCTCTCTTGCACTTGATGATGATGGCGAGCTTCGATACTTCAGTTCACAGAGTATTTGAACTTGGTCCATAAAGTGGGAACCGGTCTAGGGGAACTGGCCAAGCCTGCTTCATGTGACAGAGTCCGCCTCAGTCAGGCGGTGACGTTACCACTGGAATTACAAGAACATCTTCTTGAGCTATATTTCTGTTGGCAGAATCCCCGGGTATACATTGTTGACAAATCTGTGTTTATGAGGGACTGGTACAGTGGCGTGTCCACCGAATATTGCACGCCATTGCTTCTTTGGGCTATGTACTCTGTGGCCGCAAGATACTCGGACCGCCCATGTCTACGAACAGACCCTGACGATCCTTCAACGGCTGGGGTCCAGTTTGCCGTGCACGCCAAGGACCTCCTTCGATATGAGTGCGAAATCACAACAATTCCTGCCGTGCAGGCCGCCACACTTCTCTCAATACAATGCATGGCAGAAAACAAAGAACCAGCTGGCTGGCTTTACATAGGTATGGCGCCCCAATATAGTCTCTATTGGTCATGCAACTGACATTTGCTTTCGTTCCAGGCATGGCAACTCGCATGGCGTTCAATCTTGGCCTCAACATCGACTGCACTGACTTGGTGAAATCAGGTGTTATCTCCAAGGAGGCTGCCAATGTACGTCAAGTTGTATGGTCAGGGTGTTGGATTCTGGACAAGTATGAGCATACCTCTCTCCGCCATCATCCACCCTTTATGAGGCTTCTATTGACCGTCAGATAGGCTATTTGTTCTCGGATTAGGCCGCTCTGGGACAGTCTCTAGTCACCACGTGACGTGTCCAAAGCTAGATACCAGTGATGCTGCTGAATTCGAGACCTGGGTTCCCTCAACGGATAGAATGCGGCAGGCGCCAGTGCTCCGTTCCAGGATCCCTTCTACTGCGAACTGCATGTCCGACCATCTGAGTCTTATCGTCTCGACGTTGGATATCATGTAGGTTGTGGATAAGTCACTTGAAACAAGCTGGTCAGTAACAATGGCTGAAACCATTACAGCTACGCCCCGAAAAGCTCTTTATTGGCTACAGAATTGCATGATCTCGTATCGAAAACAGACCTCGAGGCGAGAACGTGTTGGTCAAGACTTCCATCTTTTATGCTACTGCCCAGCACCTCACAGACGGCAGCACTACCGCATGTGTATCAACTACAGTACGTGGGATCAGCGGTATGTGTTCTGTTTCAGTCTCACTGACGTTTGTAGCACCCAGTATCACGTGGGGCAAATCTTGCTTCATAGGCCGTTTATGAGCAGCAAGAAAAGATCAATGGGCGATACATCATCATATCCATGTCCTCACATGGAGATATGCCGAGCGTCTGCGAATAAGATAACCACAATACTTCGCACCTACAAGCATCATTATTCATTGGTGAGCCATATCTCGCGTTCGACAGATAGAACCAGGGCCTTGCTAACGGACGTGAAGCGCTTTATAACCGTGGGTACTGTCTGTCACACATTCACGGCAGCAACAATCCATCTCATGGACGCTGTATCTCATGGACGCTGTTTCTGACCAACCTTTCATTCGGCGAAGGGGCAACTCAAGACTTCGTCTTTGTGTATCAGCTCTACAGGAAATGGGGACTCTATGGACGTGGAGCTTCAGGGCATGTCGAGCAATTCAACTACTGGCAGCTTCCTGGGTAACTCATGACCTCGATCTGAAAGGTCTGGGGGTTGAGGGCTTACAAGGTAATGGGGTACCATCGGCAGAACACGATCGACAATATTCATCTCATTACAACTCTCATGAGGTGTCTAACATGGATCATGATAATCTACAGTGGCTGCTGACGGACCAGAGCTTCATGGGTGATTCATTTGGAGAGGGGACTATGAGCTCACTTACTGACTTGTTTGACCTTGACCCTTGGCTGGCGAAGGATTCAAATGTTATCTGAATATTTCATGACTAGATTCATACAGATGTAACCTTTGTTATTATTCAATGAACTAAATATCGGTCAATTATATCAAAATCAAGAGTTGACAACTTGAGTCAAATGATAGGCATGTGGTTTTCTTTCTTTAACTGGTGCTCTTTCATTGCAGCAGTCTTCCGAGTGCTTGCTGTCCTCAAATGAAGTTGGATCATTAAGAACTAACTCAATCTAGCTTAGGGGCTTACTGAATACTACCTATCCGGGACTGCGCAGATAAGATACGAGTCCGGATACTGCTTATCCTCTAACTTTTGAAGGGGAATCTAGAGATAGGCAAGATACTATACTACCAGTAGATCTCGGGGAAGTATCAATGTAGTAAGAAACTGGTAGAGGTGCTATATGGATGGTAAATCATAGATAAGAAATCATTTACTACAGAGGAATGCTACAGTTATAAAAGACAGCACTGCATCTAACGAATTAGACCTCTTGCCAACACCATCCTTACACTAATCGCAAGCCTCCTGTTCCGTAAAAAAGCCTTCAGTTTATTCAATTCAAAACGGTTCACTTTTCCTTGACTGAGAGCCAAAAGCTTCTGCGAGCCAAGGCTGCAAAAGTCGCACGGGAGGTCCAAGGCTCAGCCTACCCGGTCTACTCCAAGTTTCCAGACCAGATAGATCGGTTCCGTGCCACTCGACCATTTTACGCCCAGTTGGTGGGACGAGGCTTACTCAAGGCCCTGATCCCAAAGTCTGATGACGGAGACGCTGAGAGTCTTCTGGAGTCTGCATTTATATTGGAAGAGCTCTATGCCGTTGACTCGAGCATTACTATTCACCTTGTCGGCACCGCTCTTGGGCTGCTCCCTCTTCTCATTGGTGGCACGCCTGAGCAGAAGCGAAGGTTCCTTACTCCATTCATCTCAGGAGAAGGTGACCATCTCGCAAGCTTAACTCATTCCGAACCAGGTGGCACAGCCAACCATCTTGAAAAGGGTGGCAAAGGTCTCGGTGTCACTGCTAGGAAGGAAGGTGATTACTATGTTGTCAATGGAGAAAAGGTAAGAAGCGACGTCTTTTTCTATCTATCGTGCTTGTTACTAACTCTGTTGGCAGAGATGGACTACTAACAGTGCGGGTTGGGATGCCAAAGGCGCCACGCTTTCATGCCTTTGCGCTCGTTACTCTGAAGACGGAGGACCTGAGAAAGCTGACGTCGACCCAGCCACCACCCTGATGGTGCTGCTTGTGACTCGAGAGGTAGTGGCTCAGAACGCTCCCGGAGCCTACGAGTTGCTTGAGGAGCCCGACCTTATGGGACATATCGCCGCTACCGGCCCTCAGACACGTTACACAAACTTCAGAGTTCCCATCGACCACGTCTTGTTTGCTCCTGGTTCGGGTGCGAAGCAGATCGAAGAGGCCTTCGGCATCACGGGAGCCATGGTTGGGGCCATGGCCGTCGGCACCATGCGCGCTGCTTTCGATAAGGCGCTGGCATTCGCCAAAAACGACCATAGGGGAGGATCGGTACCTATCATCCAGAGACAGAGTCCCGCTGATTTGCTCATCAATGCCAAGATGAGAATCGACTCGTCCCGGGCTCTAGTATGGAAGGCACTTGACTCCCTCGACAATGGGCCTGGTGATGCCAAGGCCCGGTTCGAAGCTTGCTTGGAAGCCAAGATCCACAGCTCCGACTCGGCCATCCAGTGCGTGTATGAGTGCATGCAAGTAGTTGGCATGTATGTGTTTACGTTCAATCTCTTGTGCATGGATCTTGGTTAACATGTCTTCTAGGACCTCATACGCCAATGAGACAGGCTTCCCTCGTCTCCTCGCTGATGCTGCTGTATTTCCGCTTTTTGATGGAGGAAATATTGGTATTAGACGTCGCCAGTTCCAGAGACTTATGTGCGAGGATAGCTATCAGCCTTGGGCAAATCTTTAAGTTATAGTATTATAGACTATCTGTTAAGAATGCCTCTGGATGGCGTTGTGCCCACTCAATATCATGAGCGAAGATAATGTCCAAGTCAATCCCGCATTCCGCCGCTGCATTTGACCATACCCGAAAGGTCTTCAGAGTCTTTCCAGCCGCCTCCCTATCTCCATGAACGCAGCATAAAACGCCATCACCATCCTCCCATTGTGCTATTTCCCGCTCGCCAGACAGTAACCGTGGATCGTGGCAAGAATCTCCAATCAAGAGCACCCATTTCATCTCTCCCAGCCGTGCAAGCAGGGAAATGTGGCCAACCAAGTGTCCGGGAGAATCCACGACGCAAATGAAGCCTTGATTTGTAACGTCCCAAACTCTGAGTCCCCCAACGACCTTCCAGCTACTGGGATCTGGGAATTCTTCTGTCTCGAGACCGTCAAAAAGGTCCTTTGAGAAATTATTGTGCGCATTCCTGGTATCTGGTGGCCCGTCCAGCAAAGCCAGCGACCCATAGCCAACCCAAATCGTGGCATCTGGGAAATCAGAAGGCGTGCCAGTGTGGTCCCAGTGCATGTGGCTGAGGATGATCTGATCAATGTCTTTCGGGGACAAGCCTCCCTCGAGCAGTCTTTGCTTCACGTCTGGAAAAGCTTCCAAAGGGTAGTGATGGGGGAGCTGTTCCTGGATTCTCGGTGGGTATGAACTGATGTCGCGACGGATGCCCAAATCATACAGAATGCGCTTCTTGATGCCCTCTGGGGCCTGATAGGTGATGACGAAACAAAGACACGGCACCTTACTCCTCTTTTCCATAGAGACGCCGTCAACGAAAAGGCTCAAGTCGATGGTAAATGATCCTCCCTGAACGACAGACAAGCTGGCTTTGCCCTGTGCTGTTGCTTCAAGGGCTTTCAAAGCATGTATCGCGTCGGACAAGTCTGACATGTTGATCAACACTCTAAGAGTATATGATTACAAGGGATTATTAGAAATAACTATCAGAATGTGTCCAGGCTCGAGGTGAAGTGGCTGTCAGCAAATACAAATAGCCTACAATGCGAGTCTGTTTATCCCAGTTTTACCCCACATTGTGAAGTCCAAACCGATGAAGCTCTGTCTGGATATCTATTCCCTGTCTACGGTTTCTTGACTGCAGATGAAGCTTCGTTCCTTTTCTGATTCTATATCGGTCTTGTGAACACACTTTACTCTCGCAAAGACTGCAAGAACTGTAATACTGCTTGGTGGCACTGTTCAGCCCCGGATGTAAATATCTCGTGGCCGGGAGCATCAATGACCTTAAGCTGTGCACCTGCCACCTGTCGCGCCACATCTTCCATTGAGGCAACACTGACTGCAGCGCTATTTTTTGGTGCCAGAATAAGCATGGGCTGTTTTATATCCTTCAAAAATTGCCGTGCATCTAAGGTACTTAGAAACCCGGCGTATGCTGCAAGTCCCTCAGACGGAGACGAAGACACTTGGTCTAGCCACCAAGCTGGGTACTCTGGGTCATCAGACGCCATGGTTCCCGGCACCTTTGCTAATTGCTGCGCCCAGCCACGAGACCCAAGTTCCCGGCAAGCGGTGGGCCAGTCCTTTCGGCCAAATGCAAAGAACTCAAGTGCACTCGACGGCAGAACCGTAGGCGAGGAACATATTATGAGAGAAGAGATCCTTTGGGGAAATTTGACAGCCAATGCTTCACCCAGCATTCCACTCGTAGATTCTCCCAAAAAGTGCACTTTATCAATCTTGAGCTGATCCATAGTATCCATGATCTCCCACAATATGGTTTCCAGACTGTAGTCGTATTCATCCGATGGTTTGGGGTGGCTGGAAAGCCCGTGGCTGCGTAGATCGCGGCGGATGACTTGATATTTCTGAGCGAGGACTGGTACCCATTTATACCAAAAGTTGACGTTTCGGCCAAACCCGTGCTGGATTAATATTGTCTGTCTCGGTTTCCAAGGGTCGGTAAAGTCGTCTAGTTTGTAATGGGAGCGCTGGCCATTGATGTGTTCGATGAAGGTGTTTCCTGCTTGATCTGTGACGAGAGGCATGATGAACAGACTATTTGTTGAATCCTGCATATAATTTTGCAGTTGAATGTCTGCCTGTTTCTGGTTACTTATAGTGCCTAATATGCCTTTTTCTGCCTGCGAACCTCATGTGGGGTTGCTCCACGTTTCGACAAGCCCAGCATTCACACCCGACAGCTCTGGCTGCATAAAGACGCTACTTAGGAAAGGTTCAGGAGTTTTGATCCGTTTGGCTATGAACATGATCTAGAGCCTGACATAGGATGGTGTTGGAGTGTCATCAGACATGTCCGAGTATGCGCTCCAGTGTTTCCCCACCAGCTTCTCATTGCCAATCTCATCAGCGATAGCTATAGCAAGATCAGCAGCACTAATCCCGTGCAGTCTCCCAGTGAGGTCACTTTCTTCATGTCCTTCAGGTGCAGGCTTCACCGGCAGCTCGTCTTCGATAAGCGTATAGCTGCCGGTGCGTAACCCCGAGCGGTACAGAGCAGGAGGAGACACGTAAGTCCACCGAAAGGAGGTATTCCCATCAAAGAACATGAATGATGTTCTCCCCGCCATCACAAAATCCAAAGCGTTATCGTTGGACATGACGGTGTGCTCGTACTTGTCGATGAGCTTCTCTGCCGCAGGATCTGACTTTCCTTGGCGTACCGCGAGGCGCGCGTTACGATAATCGCGAAGAGAAGTTCCCATCGATCCGAGTCTCTCCTCCATGTATGAGACATGGGCGTGGCTGTCTGCAATTCCTCGGCGGTAGTACAGCCAGAATATCTTGGTATCAGCGCAAGTTGAGAATTGACTTCCGGGATAGTGTAGGGAACCGCAGCCGCCGACCATGACAAAGTAGCCGACCTTGGCGGCTTTTGCACAGATTACTATCTTGCGTGTAAGCTCTAGAAATGGTTCTATAGTGTAGAATTAGCCGATGGTGAAAGATTGAGCAATTGCTTGGACTGACTGTACTGCAATGCATGCTCTCCTGCAGTGTGTGGACCATGCTCGTTGACCAGCACATCGAGGTTCTTCAGGGCTTCAACCACGTCCTCAAAAGATGCCTTTTCGATATCGATCGAGCAAGGAGTATATCTTGGATTCTGGCCCAGCTTTTCAGGTGTTCTGGAGATACCACGAACTGCATAGCCGCGCTTGATCAGCTCAACACATAGGTACGAACCGCCGAAGCCTGTTGGCCCGATGACGCCGACACGGAGGCCCATTGCGATTTGTTCAGGATACTCTGGATGAGCTTTTAAGGGTAATGTAAGACGTAAGGATGCAGGTCTTTAAATGTCATAGAGATGGTGGAGAGCACCCCGCATTTTGCAGGGTATTATGGCCGCAAACCTTGTGCTACTCTGTCTAACCAAGCCCCCTTCTTGTTATCATCCAAAAGACTCATCAATACAGAGTTAGTCTGTTCAATCATCCAAGTGGCGTCATGAGCCAATGCGACATGTACGCCATAATCTTCTTCAAGCTTCCGAATATTGTCAATGGCCTTTTGAGCCGCCTGAATATCCTGTTGAAGGTAGGCCTTCACTCCACCATCTTCCCCAATATATGTAGCCATCTCCTCTATGCCTCGAAGCAATGCCCTAGACCAAATCGAGTCAGCAAATGGTCTCGATGAATGCCTTTCACCCGTGACTGACATCGAATGACAGCAATCGCTGCCTAGTAGAACCCATTCATCAGTACTTTGCAGCTTTACCGCAGCTGCCAAATTTCCAGGCATATGACCTGGGGCGTCAATAACCCACAGACTTCCGTCTCCGAAATAATCAAGTGCTCTTTCAAAGGTACCCCATGGAACCCATGTTCCCTCAAACTCGGTCCAATTTTCCGTGACATGTTGCCGGGATCCAAACCACCTACCATCCCACTCGACCTCATATGAGGGCTCACCAGACTCCAAGTGGCCAGGTGAACAGAAGTCTTTCGTTCCAGGGCCGAAAAATGCTTGTGCGTCTGGAAACTCTTGGCTTATGGGCCTGCAATGATCCCAATGTGCATGGCTATCAGCCTATTAGTAGACATTCCTCAAAGTTTTACTCTGTGGCATACCTGAACAAAACAGAGTCAATTTGTTCGACGCGCAATCCGAGGTATTCAAGCTGTTCCTTCAATGACTTCAACGGACCTACAACATTAGCATAGGGAAGCATAAACTTGTTGACCCATGGTGTGTACACCGAGTAGTCCTTGACCCTATATTAGACCTTGACTTTAACGAGAGCAGATCGTGACATACATCGCTGCACCCCAAGTCCCACAGAACGTAACGATTAGAGGGCTGATGATGAATCAAGAAGCACCAGTCGTACATTCGGAATGGCTCAGAAGATCCATTCTTGTGTAGTAACTTCATACTTGCAGTGCTGAAACTACCTCCGTCGAGGAGATGCACCTTTACCCCAGGACCGTCATGGCCTGGGAGTTTGGTCTTTGACGTGCTTGCCATCCACGCGATTGTGTTGATGGTTTCCTGTTGAGTGCGTGATCTCATGTCAGCCTAGGCGTATCTTATCTCCATAGATATGTCTTATCTCCGTGCCGGCTTTGTTCTCCACTGAGGAGCTGGTGCAGAGTGGCCTCAAGCAGTATAACAGTCGCTTCCCCAGCCTTTTCCTATCGGTCAACAGACAGCCTTTGCTCTTTCACAGTCGCTAATCACAGCATGGAGAACAATATCGGTTTCATCGGTCAGTCCCCGCACGCTAGCAACGCCCAACGCCCCAACCCAACCTGCCCTCCACATTGGTTTCCAATCTGGGAATTTATACCCCACATTGTCCTCCACATGCCACATTCGCTAACCCTAAGAGGCTAGGCCTAGGCGCCATGGGCTACGGCATGGCTGCCAATGTCCGTAAGCAGATGGACTCCACTGCTACCCTGTACATCAATGATGTCCATGGTCCGAGTTGTGAGAAATTCAAGGCGGAGTTTTCCTCGATTGGCCCTGTCGAGGTTGTCAAAACTGCCAAGTCTGTTGCCGAGAAGGCGCAATCAATTATCTCTATTGTCCCTACAGGGCACATTGTCAAGGATGTGTATCTCAATCCGGAGACTGGTGTGATCGCTGCTGGCCAAGCTTGCAGTACTTCACAGAATGCTCAAAGATTATATCTCGAATGCAGCACCATCGAAGTAGAAACAGCCAAGGATATTGTGGCCCAGCTAAATAAGGCTGGAATGGGCTCTTATGTCGACACTCCTGTGTCTGGAGGCAAGCCTGCCGCTGACAAGGGTAGCTTATCTTTCTTGATAGGCGCACCGGAGGCCCGAGAGGGTATTGATCTAGACTCTATTTCCAAACGCTTGCGAACGATAGCTGGCTACATGGGCCCCGCGAATAAGGCTTTCTTCTGTGGCGAGGCTGGGAACGGTCTCGCTGCCAAGATCTGCAACAACTACCTCTCCTGTACCATCTTGCTAGCCAACTGCGAGGCCATGGCTTTTGGCCGAAAGCTTGGCCTGGATAAACATCTCTTACACAAAGTGATTCATAACTCTACTGGTCAGAACTTCATGCTTGACCATGTGAATCCTGTTCCTGGTGTTGTGGCCCATGCTCCGAGCAGCAATGGATATGCGCCTGGCTTCAAATCACAGATGCTGGTCAAAGATGTAGGGCTTGGTGTTCATGCAGCAAGAAGTGTTGGTATAAATCCGTCAATCGGTAGTGCGGCTATTAAGACTTTTGAGAAGGCTGGAAATGACCCAATATGCTTTGTGAGTTAGAAATCTGACCTGTATCATGACTTTAACTAATATCTTGTCAGGATAAGGACGGTTCTGTGGTGTATCGCTGGCTTGGCGGTCCTGAGGACTAGACACAAATGATAGAACTGGAACCGGAATACTGCTTTCGCAGTAAGAACGGTGCATCAAGTAAAGATATTTAAGCAAGGATGTGGCAAACAATTTCCGTTCAATCATATTAAATATTTCACGCGTCTTGATCGTTAAATTATTAACAAAACCAGATCTTCAAGTCCTTAACCTTCAGCTAGATCCCAATTACCTCTGCCTTTGTAAACTCCTCTCTCATAATCCTGACATGCCTAGCAGATCTGGGTACAAAGTCGCAATCGAAGGGTTCAGGAATACTCAAGAATCCAGGGACCATAGCAGTTGTGGGCTCAATAAGCCTACCGTCAGGACCTTTAGCCTTGGTGATGTTAAAGCCCCAAATCACGCGAACGATATTAATAAAGAGTGATCGTTCGGCAACGTGCACACCAGGACATACCCTGCGACCCGCCCCGTAGGTGAAATGATCGCGAGCATCAGGATCGCTCGTATTGATGTAGTCGGCAGCAGCTAGAGGCTTATCGAGATATCTTGACGGATCAAAAACGTCTGGGTTGGGGAAGAGTGAAGGGTCGCGATGAATGGCCCTATTCATGATCAGCTTCTTCACAATTGGGAAGGGTACCCTGACTTACCACCAATTTAAAATGGCCCATGATCCCTTGGGAATAAACATGCCATCGTACCAATCGTCTTCAGAGGTATAATGATGCATACCGAATTTGTTCACGGGACGATAACGTAGGAGTTCCTTGATCATAGCCCGAACATAAGGCAAGTCTTTCTCGTCCTCCCATTGTGGAAGTCTATCCTTGCCTACAACTTTATCCACCTCTTGTTGAGCCTTCTTGAAAGTATCTGGGAAGAGAAGCATACACAGGACCCAATTATTAATTGATGTTGCGGTAGTCTCTGACCCAGCTTCAATCATACCGCCGCACGCGTAAGCTGCTTGAAGGTCGTCGATGTTGTGTTTACTAGGATCAGAAAGATAGAAGTCCTTGCAGAAACACTGCCTAGCCGTGCCACTATCGACTTCTTTCTTCAGTTGTTCCCAGAGCTCAAGATAAACCTTGCTGTCATGTTCGAATATTTTCTTAGCCTTGCTGCGCCAGTGGCCAAAGAAGACCTCAGGCCAGGAAGAAAGAGACGGGAAGCTGTCGACGGCATGGGCACCAAGGGCAGTGGTCCAAGTCATGTTGTCCAGAACAGTATAAATCTTCTTAATCATCGGATCATCGAAATTCGGCACCCGATGACCGTAGGTAACCAGCATAATTACAGACGTAGAGTAGCGACGGTTGATAGTGTACCACTCCTTGGGATTGTCTAGAAGGTCGCGCAGGACCTGTTTTGACTCAAAGTCTTGAACGGGCATGTACTTGAGAGAAGAGTTCAGATTCAGCAGCGCATGGGTGTGCTTTCGAAGCTGACGCCAGCGGGGACCGTATGACATGAAGAGCTGTCGGAGACCTCCACTTGCGACATCTTGGGCCAGCGGCAGAGGTGGCCGGGAAGACCAGGTGGCCGATCGCTTGTCCATGAGCTCTTTGACGACCTTCGGGGAGGACAGCCAGACGTAGTCAGAACCACCAATCTTTGTGTAAAAAATATCGCCGTGGTGCCGGTGCCATTTGCGTACTTTATTCTGAACGTCATCAGAGTCAGCGAGATCGAGCATGTTCCCGATCAGTGGCAGCCCTTTGGGGCCAGGAGGTAGCTTTCGTCTCCTCGGATCCTGTCGATTCCATAAGAAAAGGTAAACACCAAAAAAATAGTGAAGGGAACGTACCGTGATAGAGTTGGGAACTGTCCAAAGATAGGTAACTCCAAGGATCGCTGCCATGGAAACAGCCACCAACAGCAGCTTCATCAAACCATCGTTACCCACTACAAATGCAGATTTCTTGGGTGGCATGGCTCCCAGTATGGGCATCTTGTCCGCGTTGAGAGGCATCGTCATCACTTTGTGGGCTTCGGAGAACCGTTGGAACAGAGAAAAATTGCAAATCAGTGAAGTAATTGCTCAGAATGCCATACGCATTGGCCGGTAATCATGCTGATAGTAACCCATGGCATGCGAAAGGTCCTGTTATAATACGCTGCGGAGTACCCATAGCTCCTCAGCACCCCGTGAGTTCCAAAGGGATTATGGCGATCAATTAGTGTGGAGAGACTTGCATCCCGGGTCTTGCGGGGTACCGGTAGCCTGAATTTGTCAGGCCTCCAGAAGTGTTGGTCCTGAAATGGCGTGAGGCTTGTGCGCTAAGACCACGCCTCAGCAGGTCACAGTAAACACGCAAGTCAAATCCAGTCCACCATCAAGCTCTCCCCACATTGACCTGTGAATAAATATCGCATGACAACAGTTAAACATTAAAATATAGATTCATTCCACGAGTCTCTAAGTTCTTTTAATCAGAAAATACGTCTTACTTCACATTCCCACAAGATGACATCCACCGCACCTAAGAATACTTACCCCTGGGACGAGTACGAAGCTGCTCATCAACACACCTTCTCCACACCAAATATACCCATCAAGCGTGTCATTCCCCCAGGTGTAACTGGAGAAGCCTTTGATCAGGCCATTGAGGCCCTGGCGGCAGTTGTTGGGAAAGATCAGGTGTTTGTTGGGGGAGCTTTGTCGCATTACATTGATCCCTTTGACATCTGGGATGATGATGAGAGTAAAAGAAAGGTTCCCGGAGCTGCAGTTGTGTAGGCAGACCAGGTTTCTCTTCTATGTTGATTGGAATGCTGATACTTCTCTAGTCCTGCTTCTGTCGAGGAGGTCCGCGCTGTCTTACACGTTGCCAATAAGTTCAATATTCCTCTCTGGACATTCTCTAGGGGCAAGAACCTCGGGTGAGTCTACAAAACTGGCTGTCATGAATCCATTTCTGACTTGAATTAGATACGGCGGTCCTGCTCCTCGAATCAATGGATCGGTGGCCCTGGATCTACATCGCATGAACAGAATTCTAGAAGTCAACGATGAGTATTCCTATTGTGTAGTAGAGCCTGGTGTAAGCTGGAAGCAATTGATCGATTATTGTGCCGAACATAAGAAAAAGGTCTGGCCTAGTACCCCATCGCTTAGCTGGGGCAGTGTCACTGGTAATGTAAGTTTGATAGAAGCTCAAAGCTACCCATCACTGACAATCAAAGACACTTGACCGTGGCACGGGCTTTGGAACGCATTTCAATCATCACCAGTCCATCTCTGGCCTTGAAGTCTTGCTTGCCGACGGTGACATTGTCCGCACTGGTCAATTCTCCATTGATGGTTCTCCCAATGCCTTCATCTCCAAGTTCACCTATGGCCCTTCAATTGAAGGCCTGTTTCTCCAAAGCAACTTGGGAGTCGTCACCAAGCTTAGTCTGTGGATGACTCCAACTCCACCTGCTTTCATGGAGTGCACATTGTCCGCTGATGAATTTGGACATATCGAACCAATGGTGGATCTACTAGGCCCAATGCGCCAAAATGGTCTTATCCCCAGCTGTGTCTGGTTCATGGGGTGTTGGGAGATTTTGTCAGCGCGTGGTAAAAGAGTCGACTTCTGGGATGGCCCAGGGCCTGTCCCTACTTGGAGAATGAGGGAGCTCTGTAAAGAGCTCGACTTACCACACTGGACAGCCAGATGGGGCTTTTGGGGTCCTAAGCGTGTGATCCAAGCTCAATTCGATGAGATCAAGGAAGTGGTTGAGAAGACGCAACCAGCCCTCAAACTGAACGGCACCATTTTTTCGGGGGACAACGGAGGCCTCGTTGACAACAAATCAATTCCGGAGATGAATGCAGTTCTTCTGACCGGCCAGTCATCTCTCTTTAGTCTCCCTACCATCCAATGGGCCTTGCCCAAGGATGGGTCTGGCAAGGGTGCCCACGGAGACTACGCCCCTCACATTCCGAATTCTGGCAAGTTGACTCTTGAGTGGATCAAGAAGAGTTATGAATGTTACGAGAAGCGTGGAATCGAACCCATGATTGACTTTTTCATGCATGAGCGTCATATCCTTATGGTCAACATGTTTATGTATGACCAGCAAAGCTCGCGCGACAGAAAGGCCGTCTATGATCTGTACCACGATTTCCACAAGCTGAGCAAGGATCGTTGTTATGGAATGTACCGCGCTCACGTCAATTATATGGGTGGGTACCAACTACGTGATAACTACACAGATTGCTGACAGTTGTAGATCTGATTGCCGGCCATAGTAGCTTCAATAACTACGCATATAACCGTTTTGTGGAGAAGATAAAGGTAAGAATACTGTGTGATACAACGTTACCAAATCATTTTAACATGTCTGCAGGATGCGGTTGACCCGAACGGTATTCTATCTCCAGGAAAATCAGGCATCTGGCCCAGTCGTTACCGGCACCTGCGTGAGGCCCTTGAAGCAAAGAAGCCCAGCCATCTGTAGGTTCGAAGTAACATCGGTTTAGTTATTACTTCCTTGTGTATACAACTGCAGCTATTCCTCAATATTTCTTCTCGCCCGATATAGACTAAAGAATTCTACTCATTTATGCAATACGGCTTCATATTGATGCAGTGAACGTCCAAAGCTGAACCAAGGTTCTTAGTTTTCCGTTGTCCCAAAGTCAAACACTTCGGTTCAGACCCTTGGCCTTGCTTAAGAATCTCTCCTGGGATGCATATGAATTAAAACACGCCCACTTTACGTATTTTATTACTAATGAATAGAGCATTGCCATATTCACTCAACCACTTGATCTACCACCGGCATAGATACATGTCCCACATCGACGATGTTAGCACCACTTTCAGTTATCTGTGGAAAGCGAGAGGAGCAATAGTTTGGTGGGGGATAGTGGCGAGATTGCCAGCCACAGTTCTAGGTATGAGTATACTTACCCCTGCGCGAACGTCCATGTGATCACAGTCAACATCTGGGATCCAGCACAGCGACAAATGTTTACAGACAAACTCTCCGCCAGTAGACTTGATTTTCTATTACAGTAATGTGGCTCAATTTATTCTCTGCATATAGGTATTTTATAAACTCGGAGTGGAATTGGAGGCCGGGGAACAAACCTTGGCCAACACATAGTCCAATGTTTTTGCCTATAGCCTATAGGTCAATGTAGGGGGAGTCATCAGTAACCAGGTTCCCCGGATTCTCTACCCCACAGACCTGCCTCTAAGTCCATATACCCTAGGAACTATTAAGAGGCAATTAATTATAAATCGGCCACCAAATTAAAGAATTTCACTTAAATTTTTAGGTTAAATCATCTAAGGCTAGATCAGGTAGCTAATTAGTTAAAAATAACCCTAACCCTACACTTAGGGTTAGCTAGTGTTAGCTTAGGGTTAGCGTAATATATAGGAAAAGGGATATTAAGCAATAAAGAAAATAACAAGACTACTTTCCTCTTTACTTTCTATTACTTTAATTAAAGAGGCAATATTAAGAAGTAATAGAGGATATCATTTAGCTTAATTAAGACTATTAGATACTTATCTATTAGCTATATTAGTTAGC